GGGGGGGGGGGGGGGGGAGACAGGATGGTTATGCAGATGAAGGTTCCATGTGGGGACAGATTGCAGTTAACAATTAACAATTGTAAGGTGTTACAATCCTATTGTGTGTGTTCAAACCTTCTGAGATAGCCTGAAACCTTTTGATGGATGTGAGTTCAGTAACCTCTTGCTGAATTATGCTGGCAACGTTTCTTTGTTCCAAAACTGCTACACTGAGGTTTATAATGGAATGTCTTAGGAGCTTAAACCCTCTGCCACGCATCTGATGAAGTGCTTTGCAGCTCGTAAAAGTTTATGCCTTGTAATAAAATTTGCTCGGTTTGAAAGGTGCTACCAGACTCTTCCTGATTTTTGGCTAACACTGCTCTCTTCCTACTATGTCATTAATTTATGGGAGGGAATTATGCAGTAAAACCAGTATTCAAAATGAGACATAAAGCACATCTATGTGCTGGGGGTATAGCTCAGCGGTAGAGCATTTGACTGCAGATCAAGAGGTCCCTGGTTCAAGTCCGGGTGCCCCCTCCTTTTATTTTATTTTTCAGAGCAATTTGTATTTTTAAGTCCTTGAAGACTCATGGTGGATGCCATGTAGGAAGAAATAACTTCTACTGAAAGCTTAAAGGAGTAAATGAGGGAATAATAGTACTGATTACAGGACAAGGATGGATGATACAAAATTGACCTGATACAAAGCAAAGTTAGTACAGAACCTAACTGAAAACAGAACTTCAAATAAAGATCAGAATACAGAAGAGACCAATTGGCATAGAAAACAGATCACTGCCTGCCTAAGATGCGAGATGGCAGGAGGATCCCTAGGAAGCCTCCCAAATGGAATCAGCATCTCAGAAAAATATGGAGAGATTGATTGATTGATTGATAAATAACACCTGAGGTTCCCAGCTGCCCAGCTACTTTAGATGTAAACGTTGATTGAACTCAGAATGCTTAAACAAACTTCTGGACAGAAAATGGCCAACTTCAGAAGCTTCCTTTCTAGGGAAAAGTATTTAAATATTTAAGTTACTCCATAGCTGGAGTTCTCTGTTCCCGGGTGGTAATATGTAGAAACATCTGGAAACGTAGAAGAGTGGATGATGGGACCAATTACATCCCTTAAATAAAATTCTTAGGGGTAGGAGAGTTCAGGGCTTGAGTAATTATGGTATCTAGGTGCCCCCCCTCCCTGAACGGGGGAAAGAAGAATTGATTAAATAAATCCTGTTTCTAGTCCTTCCAACCCCCCAGGTGTTCCTGGTTGGGAGCATTAGAAGAACCCTGCTGGATCACATCAAAGACCCATTGTCCCCACCTCCCATCCCTGTGGACAGCAGATGCCTCCAGGTTGCGCACAGGGAAGGCATCGGTTTAAGCTTAATGCTACTCATGTTCCCCCCAGACTGCTGATCCTGGAGGTAATATACAGTCCTCATGACGTTGCTCATGAGTGGTCGTTGATGGCCTGCTCTTCCTTGAATTTGTCTAATGCCCTCTTAAAAATGTCAAAGTTGGCAGCCTTTTTTCCATGCTCCAAAAACTTTGCAACGTGAATGGGTAGGCAGAAAATTGCTTCTGAGCTGGCACCTGGAAGAGGAGAAGAATACTTTAGGTGGAATGCTTAAGACTCATACTGTCTGTGGTAGGCAAGTATGTGGCCAAACCAGTATACATGAGTAAGCTTCCTGGACCCACAGAGCATGTGCTGGGGGTATAGCTCAGCGGTAGAGCATTTGACTGCAGATCAAGAGGTCCCTGGTTCAAGTCCGGGTGCCCCCTGTTTTTCTTAAAGGACTTTAATTTGTTTCCTTTTTCAAATTGGTTATTGTTGGCAACATGGTAAAATTAGGAAAGGAAACTTGTAACCAAAATGTGGGAAGCCTGTGCCTCCTGTTCTTTCCTGTATACTTATAAAATATTAGATCTTCCCCTGACCCTTCTATTGCCTTTGGTAAATGATCAAACACTGTTAATAGGGTAGTTTAATGAAAAGTTTCCAAATTTTAGAAGAGTTGGCAAGATTGAGCAGCCCTCTGTTCTATTTAGTTGAGCTTTAAACTGCATTCCTAAATCACTTCCTATATGAAATGGTACACAGGACAACATGGAGGTAGTGACATTGGACGGTTTAGGGTAGTCTGGTGCCTTGCAGATGTTCTTGACTTAAATTCCCATAATTTCTAGCCTTGTGAGCACCAGCAGGGGGTGACTGGTGTACAACACTTAATTGTAGCTCTGTTCTCCGTTGGCTTTGCATTTTCAGCCAATTTAGCCTTGGTGTTTTGGTCCTCTTGCAATTTTCTTTTCTTTTTCCCTTTTTACTAAATTACTCTTACAAATCTGCCTGATTAAGATTTCTAATATGTGAAAAGTTTGCTCTGTCCCACAAAAGCTTGGATATCAATACATGGGGATTGATAACAAACACTAGGCAGAATTAAAGGGTCATGGTTCTCTTTGTTAAAATGTCTTGGAAAGTATCATTAACCCACTGAATAAAATGATATAAAACCCTCTCCTGTTCCCTTCCCCATACAGTATTCTCACTGCATCTACTTGCTTTCTGTAAGATCTTTTACTGCCTGAAATGCATTGATTAAAAACAGCATTCATGGTTTAAAAGTATTGTTCAGAGTGACAGATTCAGGGCATTTGTAGAAATGGACTGAATCCATGGAGTGCTATCTTTGGATGGTCTACCTGAAGATTCTGGGAAAAAATGCTGATGGGCTGGTTTTCTGAACAGGCAAAAAGTTATCGAATCGTAAAAGGCACTTTAAAGGCATCTATTAGGGATCCATTAGTGGGTTCACATATTGTGCTAAGCTGTACACCATGTTTGCTGAAGCACAATGCCTGGGCTTGGACAACATGCTAAGCAGAGAGCAAACAGGTGCTATTTTGGCTTAATGTGACGTATGAACTTAGCCAGTGCTTCCTTCTTCTCTAATAGGGTGCTTGGATACAGTGCCTCTGTGCATGTGCAGAGTGGTGCCTCTGGGATACATGAAGTTTTGTGGGGTTAGTGGCAGGTTAGCTGGGGAAAAAGTGCCCTCCATTGCGTAGATCAGTGTTTCTCAACCTTGGCAACTTTTTTAAGGTTTGGATTTTTGACCCCCAAAATATCCTCGCCACCACTCTCGCGTGGGGGTTTGTGCGGTTG